TGAAAGAAGGGATAGGCTAATTTTACAAACTGAGGCCCTATTTATACCCAGGCACCTAGGCTGCTGCTCCAGGTGTAAGCGGAAATCTTCCAGATACTTGGCTTCAGAAGGGTGTAGTCCAAATCACATAAAGGCCCGTCATGATTTCTTGTAAACAAGAGGCAAAGCTGAGATTGCATTTGCTTCCCATAAGAGTGTTTAAAATTTGAATAACTGGGTCAGAGATGACTGCGTACTAATAACTGCGAGAGTTGCTGGTATTCAAACGTGTTCACATAGGCATACAATGGCCATTAGCGACCACTAGAGAGCACTACAGTCCAAAAGAAGATCTCATTGCTTACACTCCACCTCCTTTGAAACATGGCTTGTTCACAAGTGTGGCCTTGTAAGTGACCCTAACCCTTGCTGGTTTATCCCTGGGGAGAAATGCCTCTGGCAGTGCAGCCATTTCTGTGCATTCATACAAGCCTTCATGGCAATGCCCATGTTCTCATTTGCATGGTTCATTGTCTTTCTCACCCTTGGCAAACTACCAGAAGGGATGAATTGTGAAGGCATGGGGTAGCCATGCTCCTTAGAGGAACCTTCTCAAGAACATCACAGCTCTTTGCCAATAGAAGTAAGGACTCATGGCCTTGCTGTGAGGTTGTAGCAGGAGAGCCATGTTTTCCCCTGCCTAACTCATCTGCCAGATCTGGATGCTGTCATTTTCTGGAGGGGTTGCAAGGCAGTAGTGCAAACGGGGGTGCGGCTGGCCCGCCACTCCCTGTCACCTGTCTCTGCGTGGGCTGAGATTACTACTGTGTACTCCCTGAGCGATTCAGGTCTTATCTTCTCTTGGATGAGTGCCTAGCGGTATCCTTCTTCCCCAGCTACACTTCCCACACCTTGCAGCATAATTGCCAGGTGCTCTGAACCTTCCCTCCGTACTAATAGCGTGCTGGGCCACTCAAAGCCTTTCTCTCCCACAGCCTTGGGTGAGGTGGCAAGTCTCTGCACTAGAAAATCCCAAGAGTCCTTTATTCTTAACAGCCCCCTCCACAGTTTGTCACTCAGCTGAGACTGACCATCTTCTGGCTCCTAGGAGCAGGAAAAGGTGTTAGGGGCCTGAGACCATGTAACTCCACTGGGCTTCAATCCAGGGACCTGGTCAACTGTAGGATTGTGCCCTGCATACTACACTTCTAGCTCCTACAGGTTTCCTGAACCACATCTGCACCTATTGCATCCACACAGATACCTCTCATCAGGCTCCCCAGTAAGGTCACAGCTCTATAGATTTGTTTAGCTGGACCTTTGCTCCCCTTGGTTTGCCACCTGTATTCACCCCTCTGGCCCTCAGAGATCTGTCCAGCACCAGCCCTTGGGTTCCTCCCCCCTTGCCAGCCAGGATCCAACTGCCCACTCTGCTCTGGCTTGCCACTTATGTAATTCTGGGGGTGGGTGGAGGTGGGAGTAGCTGGTCTCCTGTCCTCAAGTGGATACCCTCCCCAGTGCATCCTTCATCCTAAGTAATGGGGAAAAGGGACTGCTGTTACAAAGGTTTGTAAGTTTGACCCTCTCCTGATTACAAATGGGAAAGTCGGCCTCAGAAAGTTGATGTGGGAAAATTGGGATCATCAGTGACAAGGTCACCAATAGAACAGAAAGTCATGGTTCCCTCTCTCATTCATCTTCAGGCCATTCAAAGGATCAGGAGCAGAGAGCAGAAACAATGGTTGACCTGCTTCTACTGCTACACAGCATTGCACTGATAATGGCTGAGCTGCATAAACTAACTTCCCATTGCCTCATGGCTGTGAGAGTCTTAAACTCACAGGCCTGCAAGGCTGGAGTAATAACTTTGCACCAATAAAACCTCTTTGGCTTTTCTATTTGTCATACTGAAGAGTGGGCCTGCCTTTTAATGACAAGCTAACAAGCCCATGCACCATTTCCATTTCCAAGTAAAGGACTAATGTAAGATGTGACGGGCTAGCTGGTAATGATTTGGCCCAGGGGTTCTGATAGGGTAAAAGATGATTGGAGGGCTTGGAATTCCCTTTCCTCACCAATCAGGCCCCAGAGACTCACCCTCCATGTTCCCTGATTGGCCCCTCAGGTCACCTGGAGGAGGATAAAAGGGGCAGCGCAGCTGACTCAGGGGAGACCAGCGAGAGACCACGAGGAAGGAGTTTCAAAGAGCTGGCAAGAGCTGGGCCAGCAGGGCGGGAGCAGTTGCCCCAGAAAACCCTGAAGGAGTGGGACCTGCAGGCAGCAGTTGGACCCTCAGCAGCGCGGTGTGCGGCTGGCAAGAGAGGCTCCCGCTGGGCTCCAGGATCCCCCTATGAGAGGCTGCAGCCAGCAGGAGAGGTTCCCCAGCTCCAGCAAGAGGCCAGGAAGCTCAATGTAAAGTGGCTCCAGCAAGGTCAAAACCCCTAGCAGCTTAAAGCAGGGCCAGTACTAGTGGCTGTGTGGTCAGGTTTCTGTCTACCACATGGGAGAGTTGAGTTCAAATCCTAGCTGGAATGATTTGGGGTGAGTAAAGTGACAGGGAGAACTTCTTGTTGCAGTGGAAAAGGGGTCATAGTGTTTTCCCTCTTTCACCACTCCGGGTAGCTAGGCCCTGTATTTCTTGTTATTGGACATTTTGCATTTTGTAAATTTTATATTTTGCCCACCAGTATTGCTTCTTGTGTTGTTTGTGTTTTATATTCTGTTAAACCTGTCTTCTGTCAACTGGATGAATATTTGTATGATTGTAAGTGCCTAGCCTTTATTGAATCCTGTCCCCTCGGGGCATTGTAGTGTCCTCTATACCCCCTGGTTTATACATGTTATGTTCCCACTACTGTTTTTCTCATTAAAAGGTATATGGTTAAGTCCCCATTGGTGGTCTGGCTCTGCTCTATAGGGGAAGGAGAGTCCCTACACCTCCCACAGCACTTGTGCACCTGCTCTGATCCCTTCAATTGGCGGGGGGGGGGGTACATCTTGGAGTACCGCCCGAGTTACAAATATATAAACACAAATGCTCCTGGAAGAAAGGGCAATGTCTACACTGGAAGAATACAAAGTTCTCAGGCAGGATTATTAGGTATTGGGACATCTACATGGGGCAGGGAGCCAGTAGCTTTGTGGCACTGTGGAAACTGCTGGGCTTTGTCTGCAAGTAGTTGCAAATAACTGATGAAAATCTTCAGACCTGGGTTGCCCCTGAGGTTTTGATTTTTATTTTTTTTTAAAGTTGAAAATACTTTAGTTTGGAGGTTTCTGTTTTTTTCCTGCAAAAACAGAGAAGTCTTTAGGTAGGGATATTTTTAAAAATTAATCTGTTATAAATGCCTCATTAATAATCAATTGGCAACCAGGTCCCTTTGTCCTTCTGATTTTTTTATAGTAGCCCCTAGGGCCCTGTTCAAGGATCAAAGCACTGTGGTGCAAGATGCTGCAATTAGTTTGCCAGGACATGCAAGTACATGAAGCAGAAAAGTGGTGCTGTGTTCTGGATCTACCAGAGCCAGGGAGTACCAGGGGATTTCACCAGGACACCTCATCTTTATCAAGCTTCTGGTATGAGTTTCATCCTCTAAATGTTCGGGATGTGGCTGAGAGCAAGGGCTGATACTGGACCTCAAAAACAGAACTGCTTAAAACTCCACAGATTCAGGGCAGAGGAGCCTTTCAACAGCTTTGGATATTCTCCCTTCTCACAATACTGCTAGATTTGCAGGTGCCAATGGGCTCAGTAGTCATGGGGAGACTACTTTTCATGCCAGGCTGAAATGCTAGCATGCTCAGCCCCTTGTGCTCCCCTGGCATATGGTGTGGCATACAAGCCTGAGGGGCCTAACAGAGCTCAGAGGCAAGCTCAGCCTCCTGGAGAAGCAGGATTCCCTGAGTTGGGGACATCCCATGATTTTCCAGTCCTTTTTCAAACTAAACAGAAGTCTCCCATTAAAAACAGAAGCCCAAGGAGATTTCATTGATACATTTTGGTTCATGGGAGAAATGTGAATGTCTTCAATTATGGCCACCTGAGGGCTGTGGCGGAGGTTTTCTTGTTTCAGGATTGCCTCTTCAAGGCATCCTAACAGTTTAAGGGCACTGAGATGTCTCATTCCCTAACATCCCTTTGAACACCCTACCCTAATGATTTTAGACTTTGTTAATAACAGAAGCATAGCAATAGGTGCCTATGGGTTCATCTGCCTGATCCAAAAACTTCAAACATTATGGCTGTCGGTAACACATTTAATCTGACCACTCTGAGTAAGGTGCGACCTGCAGGGTGAACCACTTCTCAGGTGAACCCGTGTTTGTCAGAACATTTCATCTCATTTCTCCCAGCTTTGCCCACACTGAGGGCCTGATTCTATTCCCATCAGCCTCAGGCACAGCAGTGTCAATCCAGAGATCAGCTGAGTTATTTTGTGAGTGGGAGCAGCACCCAGCCCACTGAGAAAGGAATTTGGCTAAATGTATATGTTCTTTAGAAACGAGGTACCAGGCCCACTTCCAGTCCCCCAGCATTTAGACACTGAGGTCACTCCACTGGCTTCCACATATCTATCCTAATGTATAGTGCAGTCAGTGAGAGCAAAATCAGTCTACTGCTATTATCATCATGCGTCCTGGCTCTGTTCCCACCTGCAACCCTTTTTCATGTGAGAATTCCCACTGATGTCTTAGAGACTTCTCATGCAAATAAAGGCAACAAGATCAGGCCCCTTAGGTTTGCACTCTCCACTCTGAAATATTGTTGTGCATTCAGCATTCATTCAGGGACCGCTTCTGCATGGAGCTGTTGGTTGCAAGTCTTACTGAAGCCAGTGGGATTACCAAGTATACAGCAGTTTATAGGTGCACGTTTACGAGCTGTAGGCATGCAGGATCATGCCCAGACACTCACTGAAAGCAACAGAAAGGGAGGCTGCTTAATAATGCACAGAACCCAAAAGCCCCTATCAAGGCAAGTACCTACTGGTGGATTGTGTATTACAAGGAATTGGAGGTTATACAGAACACAACAGAAGCTAATTTATTTAGACACCATGGCAACATTTCTAAAGCCACCTAGGAGATTTGGGGCACTTTTTGGACAGTGTGTATCCAAATCCCAGAGGTGGCTTTGGAAAATCCTTGCCTCTAGGCAAATCTTCTCTTTTGTACTTGTTCAGTGGACAGGGTTTCTAAGCGTACATTTCCAGACACGTATTCACTATTGATGTTCTCTTTGCCTCCATTTCAACATCGTCACTTCAGATTTCTTCATTGGTCATTGCCACACAGATTCAGCAAGGCAGTCTTGTAATCACCGCTGGTGTCCCCCTGACACAGACAAAACAAATAACAGTGAATATGAAAGCATGTTCAAAGGAACTCCAAGTCATGCGCTGACTGTGTAGTTCACTGGAATAACCTCCAGTAGGAAAAAGACAGACTTTGTTGATGTCTGTGGACTTGTCCCTATTTGACACTGTATTGTAAGTGAAAGGAGAGACACGCCCAATTGTTTTCACCTGACTGTCAAATTTATTGAACCTGACGGACAATCAGTCAGGACCAACTCCACTGAGGCCAATGGCATTACTTGGAGATAAAAATCAGTGTAAGTGAGAGCTAAAAATGGAGCCCACTAGATATAAACTTACACTGCCTAGTGTGCATGTGCTTCTACTCTGCTCACCAGAACTATATGGGTGGAGCACTTCGCCCTGAAGCTCTGCATTTTTAGGAACTAGACAAGTATTGCAGTCAGTCTAGCGGAGTGTTAATGAGAAAGTGATAGGATTCTGGTTTCATCCACTTCGAGTATGTGGGGAGGGGGCTACTGCAACTCTTCAGGAAGAATTAATATTCAGTCAAGACCAGCATTCCCTCTAAGCTGCATGGCGTGCGCGGTTGCGCAGGCGCGCTCATGCCGCGCTGCCAGGCACTCCTGCGCGGCCACACACGCCATGCAGCTTAGAGGGAATGTTGGTCAAGACCCTTATAAACTGATCATTAATCAACATGACAGATGCTGACAAAGTAGATTAGATGGAAGGGCCTTAATTACAGAGATTTCTCATGGGGAGTGCTCATGATGGGGCCTCTGTGCCCTTTGCACAAGGGAAAGGAATGAACCAGAACACAGGATAGGAGAAAACTGGCATTACAATGGCTCTTCAGAAGGGATGGACCATCCCCCTCTAGGTAATAAGAATCTAATTCCAGAGGCTTGGTAGGGTTGGGGAAAGGTCCATTTCTAGACCTTTTGCTCAAACCATATGAGGCAGATCCCCAACTGCTGTAAATCAAAATAGCACCGTGAAGCTAATGATTTTCCAGTTGTTACAAGTCAGCATAGCTGCACTGAGTCCAAAACAAGGGGAGCTTCGCTGGTGAAGAAACTGAGACTGTAAACCTAGTTAGCTATGCCCTCATCTCATCACCTCCAGGACACACTGCACAACTCACTTTGGTTTTCCCTTATGAATGAGGAAGGTTCTCTGATTCCATCTGACCGTACTCCCATGACTTATGAAGGGTGGGGATAGTCCTATCACTTTCTCAGTGGGGATAGTCCTTGACTGAGAATAGTTGTAAATATGCCCAAACTCCAAGGCCATTTTTACATGTACTCCAGGGGTGAGGCGGGGGGCCAAGAGCCCCTCTAATTAAAGTGCCACAGTGTCTCATGTAGCATCTCATTCGACAAGCTTTAGTTCAAGTGACCCCGCCCCCATTTTTAAGTGTGGGGATGCTGCTACACGAGACACAGGAGGCTGCTGGAGTGTGGTAATTACCATGCCTTACAGGCACAAGATGATGGACATATTAGAAACGTATAGAATAGCTACAAATAATCTAACATAAAACTTCTGCTTACCGCAATCGTGGTAGAGAGGGACTTGTTGGCAATCTTCAGGAATTCAGCCTTGATAAGTTTTAAGTCAATTTCACTTCTGGAAACAATAACTCTTATAAGAGTCCCATCACGGGTTCCTGCCCCCTGCAAGGAAAGAATGATGGGTTTGCATCACTGCCATTTATTATGGGGAGAAATCTGTTCTGCTCTCACTTTACTTTGAGAAGGGGTGGTGGTGGGGCATAGTCGGGTGCAGGGAGGAAGGGAATGAGATGGAGAGAAATAATTATTTGTTTGCAAACTGATCCAAGGTGGTAGAGAGCACATTTCAAAATGCTGCTTGGAATGAATTTAGCAGCAAACTGCTGCTGCTCATTCTAGTCTCTAGACACTTGTTATTATCACAGAGAGAACTTGTTCACTGCATTAGCCTCAAATCAGGCAGAAGGCACGGTAGACTTGCACAGTATAGACTAACTAAATAATCAGGGATGCATGAGCTTCGGCAATCAGTGGCTTACTACATAAGATGCAGGTTCTTCACAGCATCTGGCTATAAGCCACTGCTTACAAAAGTGTATGCACCTCTGATTTTGTTAATCTATAAGATGCAAGTCTACCCTACCTTCTTATCAAAGAACCATCGTGACAACCAGGTATGACTAGAATTTTTCTACATAAGAAATCTGACAGCAAACATGCTAAAGAATTGTCAGTGGGGATCAGGTGCATACAGCACAACAGAATGTGATAGATAACTTTTATACATTTTTTATACATCCTCATATGGTCTTGTACATTTCTCCTCAATAATCCCCATACAGACTAGGTAAATGTCTCCTCACAGTGTGATACAGCAATGCAATTTCTAGATATTATGGGCGCATCTACACAAGATGCTTTACTGCTCAGCATAGGTGAAGGGAGAAATTTTTTTGTGGGGGGGAGCACATGCATCCCCCAAGGCAGGAATGTCTGTGAGGAAAGCGGCAGGGGGAGGAAAGGGAGTGGGGCTGGGGCTAGGGCTGGGTCTGGGCAGGGATCAGGAGGGAGTGGAGCTGAGCCACGCCCAGGATAGGGATTGGATAGGGATTGGGGCTGGGGCCTGCTACAGCCGTGCAGTCCCACCCCAGGGGCTGCCCACTGAGCAGTAAGGCATTCATAGACAGCTGAGTGAGAGCAATTTTGCTGATGGTCAGCCAGGCAGCAAGGGGCGGGGGATTGCTCCCTGTCCTTGGGAGCTGCCTGCTGCTGGGGCAGGCTCCTCCACTGAACCCTGAGCAGGGTCAATGTCCCCCTGCCTTTGCAGCAGGGAACTCCCTGCCCCTGCTCCGAAATTGCGATCAGAGCAGGGGCTGGGAGATTGCTCCCTGCCCCAGCTTCATGATCATGATTGCAGAGCTGAGGCAGGGAACTCCCTGCGTGGGGAGAGCTCCCCGCCGAGCCTGGAGCTAGCAGAGACCTGCCCCAGATTGAGTGGCTGGGAACTGTCCTTGTCTGGGGCAGGTCCCAGCCCTGCAGTTTTTTCCCATCCCCATGCCCTGATTGGGCTATTGAGGCCATAGGCAATGTGCCAGGGGGGAGGGGGGAGGGCACAGGGGAGCATGTGCCCCCCCTGAGATTGGCCCCCACTGGCTTCTGAAGGTGGTTGCTGTTCTCCCCCTTTCCCCACCCGCTGCTGACATGGCTGCTGGCAGCTGTGGGCGGTCCCCACTCACCGCCACCGCCAGCACAGACAGCAGCTACAGGTAGTCCCCGCTCGCTGACTGCCACGTCCCCCCTCACCGCCAACAACGCTAGTGGCAGCTGCAGGTGGTCCCCGCTCACCGCCATGGTGCCCCCCCTGTCGTTCATGATTGAGGCATGGGGCTTGGAAATAGCTGTCGGGAAGGGGCAGGTCCCAGCCCCAGCCCAGATCCACTGGTGGGGCAGCTAGAGTGAGCCCCCAGCTGGGTGGGGAGTCTCCACCCAGCCAGGTGCTCACTGCTAGCTGCCCCACCGGTGGAGCCAGGCAGGGGGCTGGGACCTGACCCTCCCCCACATCTCTTTTCAAGCTCCCCCTACTGGGGAGCCAGAAATGGGGGACACTGTTCCCACCTGGGCCACCAGGCAGCTCCTGGAGGCAGGGAGCAATCTCCCAGCCCCTGCCAGGAGACAGATATATCTTGCCCCCATGCTTCCAGCCAGCCCTTGGGCTAGCACTCAAGAGGAGCCTAGAGTTCTCCCTGGCTGCTGCAGGGGACTGGATCAGGGCCAGAGGGGGCAGGAGCAGACTGCTGCCAGGAGCAGCAGGTCTGTTCCCAAGTGGTCATGCATGTAGACACCTGCCTAGGCTGGGTTTACTCCAGAGTAATTTAGATGGAGTAAATTCATTCAGCAGCACTTGCATGTGTAGATGCATCCTATAAGTGCTGTTTTAACTACTCTGTTCACATGGTTTTTCAAAGCAATTACTCTTGGAACAAACAAGAGAAGAAACTCTTGATTTATTCCTGAGCAAAATATGGGATCTGATTCAAACAGAAATGGTGAATGTGCCGCTTTGTAACAGTGAGCATACTGGAATCAAATTCAACATCTACCTAAACATCTATCTCTACAATATTTAATTTTAAAAAGGGGAACTATGCAGAAATGAGAAAGCTAAGAATGAAAAGGTGCAATCAATAGGGTGAAAAGCCCATAGACAGCATGGAGGCTGCTTAAGAACACCAGAGTAGTGGCTCACAGTGGCTAACTAAATAACATAAATTAAAAAAGACACTAAGCAGCTGATACTAAGCCGTTGAGGCTGTTAGGGGGAAAAGAATCATTCAAAAAATGGAAGTCCACGGGCTAACAATAAAACTAAAAAGCCAAATAAACTCTGGCAAGTTATGTGTAAAAACATAACAAGGCAGGCTAAAAAACAATTTGAGCATGTTGCTAAAGACATACAAGCAATCATAATTTTTGTATTAAGTACAGCTGAAGTGTAAGTTTTCCAGGAGAGCAGTGGGGCTATTCAAGAGCCAGGGTGTAAAAGGTGCCCTCAAGGAAGATAACAACCATCATCTTTACATCAGTCTCAGCTACAGCGGATGTTGGAAAGATTAGCACACCAGACCTTCTCCTCAGATGAATCCCCTAAGAGAATTGGCTCAAACTGAGGGGAAAATAGAGAGAGCTTAGAGTTGTAAAGGTGATGGTGAAGAGCTCCAGGAAGATGTCACAAAAGTGAGTGAGTGGGCTATAAAGTGGCAGATAAAATGCAACATTCATAAATAATGCACATAGAAAAAATAAGCCTTACTATGCATACACAGTGGTGGACTGGCCATTTCCACTGGCGAAAAAGACCTTGGAGTAATTAGAGAAACTTCTATAGAACTACTGACAGAAGGTGCAGTGGGGACAGGGGTCACAAGGCAGATTCAACTCTTCCAAAGGTGCTGGGCCTGATCCTATTCGTTCTCACCAGTTTTACACCACCACCGATTCCCTGACTCTACTGAAAATACAACCCTTTTGGTTTACACCAGAACCAGAATCAGGCTCCTATGAAAAGTTTGTGTTCTGACACAGTCTTACCTTCAAGGCATGGTACAGCCTCTCTGCAAAGTAACAGTGGACGTTCCTGGTGCATTTCACTAGGCACATGAAAACATTCAGTTAGAGACCATGACAATTCCAGCTCTGGGACAGAAGATAATAGAAATACTCTCTATTTTTCCCTGTGATTAGGCCCCATTTCAGCTAAGGGTTACACATTAGTTCATATAAACTGGTGCCACAGGATATATGTACTTTACTATACATAGTCAGTGACTGCAGTAGAAGGGAAAAAAAGGCAGAAAATACTTAACGCAATTTTGCATCCCTTACCAATAGCCAGCATAGCATCCTCTAGTGAGCCATGGGTTTCACTCTTGATACTGTCTTCTATGCTCTTCCCAGCAAGCTTTTGATACTCATCAAAGACTGTGAGAAATAATAAACACAAATACTTTTAAATTCATGCCTCATGAAATGCCTAAGCAATTGTTCCCAGTTTTCACAGAACACGTACGTTGGGTTTATCTTAGGTTGCTTCAAAGACCACTAATGTGAATGGCCAGATTTCTGTGCACTTCAATACTCTGTGAGTCAAGCCCCAAAATAAGACAAAAGATGCTGGAACCACCACAAATGCAAATTCCCGCAGAAAGGAAAGTTTCTGCATGGGTGAAGAATAGATAAGAATAGGTAGATATGAATGGAAATGAGCGAAATTACTAGACTACATCTGGGATGTGCATCTTGCACATTCCTTTGGAAATCAGATCTGAAAGACCTCTTCTTTTCTCTTGATCCATATCAGGTAAACAAGACTCAAATGGTCTTTTTATTGCTGTCATGGGTTTGGGGAGCAAAGATAAAATTGAATTAAAGCAAGGTCTGGGTTGCTCATAGGGCTGATACTTTACAGTTTGAAAGCATCATGGGTAACTCAAATCTTGTATTATTTTATCCACATAAAAGGTAAGCAAATAAAAGCATGCATAAGCAAGAATATAGATACAAGTTCACTCAGACTGCTGCACAAACCAAGTGTTCTGCCACAACAATGAATATTTTTTACCTTAGTCTCTATGAAGAATGCTTCCAGGTGCAAAATTATACGTGTCAAATTTGATTTCTAGACATGAATAATGGAATAGTAGCAATGGAAAAAAGAATGGCATTCATAGTTTCATAGCTGGTAGGGTCGGAAAGGACCTGAGGAGATCATCTAGTCCAACCCCCTGCCATGGCAGGAAAGAGTACTGGGGTCAAACGCCCCCAGCCAGATGTTCGTCCAGCCTCCTTTTAAAGACCCCCAGGGTAGGAGCCAGCACCACTTCTTTTGGAAGTTGGTTCCAGGTCCTAGCCGCCCTGACGGTGAAATAGCGCCTCCTAATGTCTAGCCTGAAACTACCCTCCGCTAGCTTGTGTCCGTTGTTTCTTGCAACTCACGGGATTGTTCGGGGGAACAGGGACTCTCCCAATGCCTGCTGGTCCCCCTTGACTAGTTTGTACACTGTCACTACAGTCCCCTCTCAGCCTTCTCTTGTGGAGGCTGAACAGGTTCAGGTCCCTCAGCCTCTCTTCGTAGGGCCTGCCCTGCTGCCCCTGATCATGTGGTTGGTCCTCCTTTGGACCCTCTCCACATTGGCCACATCCCTCCTGAAGTGCAGCGCCCAGAACTGGATGCAGTACTCCAACTGCAGCCTGGCCAGTGCCACATAGAGTGGGAGGATCACCTCCTTGGACCTGCTTGATATGCATCTGTGGATGCACGACAAGGTATGGTTGGCCTTCCTGACTGCGTCCCCAAACTGTCGGCCCATGTTCATTGTGGCATCAATGATGACTCCAACATCCTTTTCTGTCTCAACACTGGTGAGAAGGGAGTTCCCCAGCCTGTAGGTGTGCCGCTGGTTCTTCCTCCTCAGGTGCAGTACCCTGCACTTGTCAGTGTTGAACCCCATCCTGTTCTCATCCGCCCATCCCTGTAACCTGTCCAGGTTTGATTGCAGCCTATTCCTCCCTTCTAGCGTGCCCACATCCCCCCACATCTTAGTGTCATCAGCAAATTTGAACAGGGTGCTTTTAACCCCTTCATCCAAGTCGCTGATGAAGATGTTGAACAGCGTGGGTCCGAGGGCCAAGCCCTGGGGGACTCCACTGCCCACATCCCTCCAGGTCGAAAATGACTCATCACACCTGCATCCAAGGACTTGGTGACCTGGTCATAGAAGGCCACCAGGTTGGTTTGACAAGACCTGCCCCTAATGAACCCATGCTGGTTGCCCCTGAGCATAACCTCCCCTGCTGGCCCTTCCTGGACATGTGCCAGGATAATTCTTTGGAAAAGCTTCCCCACGACCAAAGTAAGATTCATGGGCCTATAGTTTCCTGGGTCCTCCTCCCTCCCTTTTTTGAAGATGGGGACCACATTGGCCCTTTTCCAGTCCTCCGGCATATCGCCCGAGTGCCATGAGTGCTCGTAGAGCTGTGCCAGAGGTCCCGCATTGCATGATGATCTTCAAATCTAAAGCTGAACAATCTTCCAAACTTTAGTGCTTAAACATGACAGTGAAATGCAGAAATGGATTTCATAGATTTCATAGACATTAGGGCTGGAAGGGACCTCGGAGGATCATTGAGTCCAGCCCCCTGCCCCAGGAGCAGGAAGTCAGCTGGAGTCACAGGATCCCAGCAAGATAAATGTCCAATTGACTCTTAAAGGAGTCCGGAGTCGGTGCTTGCACCACCTCTGGGGGCAGTCTGGTCCAGGCCTTGGGGGGCTCGGACTGTAAAGAAGTTCTTTCTTATGTTGAACCTGAAACAGTACTGGAGAAGTTTCTGACCATTTGACCTTGTCATCCCTTGGGGCGCTCTGGTGAACAGGTGTTCCCCCAGATCCTGATGTACACCCCTTATATACTTATAGGCAGCCACCACATCCCCCCTGAGCCTGTCTGTCAATCTGGACTGACAGACAAATGAACAAATGGGACAGACAGATGGCATCGTCCTACTCAGCTCAGACCTCTCTCTATCAAAATAACTTCAGCTGGAATGGTACTGAAATAAATTGAGTTTTCAAATGATACTGTTAATCAGCTTTTGTCTCAGTGAAGATGAAGTGATTCATTCTCTGTGTTCTTTATTCTGGTCATAAAGAGTGTTGGGACTGAATGCTTATAAAGTAGTCATGAATTTTAGTTGCTACCAATCCAAATCTGCTTGTGGCCCCTTGAAACTGAACTCTCAGAAGCTGAAATAGTCAAAATATAGAGGCTATTTTTTGTACATGATTTCTTTTTCCTATTTGTATGCATGTGATTTTGTGAAGTTAAATTTGAAAATGAAAGGGAGCTGGACTCAGGCAAAGACTTCAGCTGCACAATGTTCAGGGCCACGTACAGTGTAACTTGGCACTAGGCGATTGGTGTATTCCAAGGGTGTCAAGCTCATTTGCCCTGTGGGCTGGGTGAGTGACATGGGGCTAGTCTGCAGGCTGGATAAGGCCCACATGCTGGATCCAGCCCACACCAGTAGCATGCTGGGCTCTGCATGCTACTGGTTCTTGTTCTGGCTGCATGCAGCGGACAGCACTGGGGCCAGATGATACAGCTCCGCAGGCTGTATCTTTGAAACCCATGGTGTATTCCCATTGTCTGGTGTGTGCATGCTCAGCCTATGTAACAATGTCTGTTTGGCTCTTCACTGACTGGCTGAAAAAATTGTTGTCAGTGTGCCAGATCTGCCAGAGCTGTTCCTGTCCTTGGTCCTGTCCTGCCCGGATGAGCATTGTGCAGGGATTCCAATGGGGAATGCTGCAACTCTTCAGGACAGAATGAGGACTAACTATTAGCAACTTATCCAGGTGGAAGAAGACAAGGGACCTGTCACTGTAGATAGGGGCACCCAACATGTTTTAATTCTTTTAGGAAATGTCCATCTTTCCACTTTTCTCTCCATGTTTTAGATTGATAGATTTGCTAGATTGGATTGATCAATTAAGCCATTACCCTGATATTTGGACCCTTAATTAAATGGCCTAATTTTCAGAGGTACTGAGTGTTCATAACTCTCACCAGTGGGAGTCATTCAATTGTCAGCATCTCTAAGAATCAGGGCATGAATTTAGGTGCTTAAATGTTGATCTAGGTGCCTAATTCTGGGCATTCAGGTGTGCCAGCATTGGCCTTGCCCTATCCCTCTGAATGGCATGATTTTTCCTTTTGGAAGCTTCTCACATGCCTGAAAATGTATCACCCCTGCCCATTACCTTTCAGCAAGTGAATGGCGCTCCTTTTACACAGGATGGTGATGAATTGGATCTCATCAGTGCCCTGTATCTTCTCACCAGCAGCATAAAGAGTCTGTAATTTATAAACCATAATTTACAGTTCATATAATAATGTTCAGCATAGTAATTTTGCGGGGAGGGATCTCTGTAGCTTTGCTGAGAAGAAACCTCCCTTTCTGTTTCTGTGAACATGTGTAGGGGGGTAAAAGTTCAGGCCATGAGAGCTGGGAGCAGAGGAAAGATAGAAAGACTTAAAATAATGTGGCTTACTTGTATAAAACAGGACCTGAGAATCAAGACTTGAAAAGTGAACCCCACCTGGGGGGAACATACTTGGACGAAGCAGGTGCAATGTGCTGGGGGCTTTGGTAGTGCAACTTGGATACCAGTATTTAAGGATGTCACAAAGCCCCTTACTGTCGTGTGAGCTAGACATGTCTGTTTTATCACATAGTCCCTTTGTGCTTCAGTCCACGTAGGGTACTTTGTGTAAGAAGTAGCTGGTAAAACAGGGTTATAAATAAAATTCAGATTTATAGCTCTTGAGGGCTTTAAGGCAATACCATAAGACTCATTATTAAGGTTTTTTTTTTTTTTTTAAATGGAGGTTTAATTTAGTAGGTAATTTCAAACTGAGTGGCAGGTAGATCCAGGCGACAGGAAATTGGGCCGAGTGTCAGAACTGGATTCTATTCAGATACAAATCTGGGTTCATCTCCAGATTTGAATCATCATCCAAATTCTATCTTGGCTCAAAACTGTATAGGCTCATGTGCCCCTTACCCTCAGAAATGTTTAAACCCAGATCCACCTCTGATTACATGAAAGTACCTGTGCATCCTGAAGTGCCAATTCTGAATCCACATAAAATCTTGGATCATCCCTCTCACCCTAGGAGAATAAAAAGAAAACATACTCATATATTCTCATGATAGCATCTTCTGTATCAGTATTTTGCACCATTTTCAAAGACAAAAGGATTAATCTTGTAGCCCCCTGCCCTGGCAAGCTAGATAACCAGTATTGTTCCATAAAATGTAAGAGAAAATCCTTGTTTGTAATGTGGAACCAATACATTGGTATCACTTAACTCAGACATCACTTATTCTGTAGAATGGAGTAGTAGTAACAGTAGTGGTAACCATTTAGCAGGGCTCTATCAGGATGGGATGCACGGTATGGCAAGGGAGTAAATCACAAATGGTAAACATAATTTTAAAAATCTGTTTGGAGTGTCTTGAGGTATGTATGTGATTGAGTGATGTAGCCCTATACTACAGTAGTTTTCAGACTTCTTAAAGTCACAGAACTCTTCTGTATCACTTCTGCCAAGGAACCCCTACCTCTATCCTAAAGACTGATGCAGAGCCAGGTAACCCAGCCTTGCAATGCTGGTACACTGCCTCCCAGTCCACTCCCCTATTGCCTCCAGTCTCTTTGCAGAACCCCTGATGACCTATTGTGAAACCACAGGGTTGCATGGACCACACATTTTGAAAGCCAGTACTCAATCAGGTGTAGTCTCAGAGCGATTACAACTCTACTATTTGTGCCTGCCAGAAGAGCTCTCCTGTGCTTTTGAAGTTGAAGATGCAGATATCTAATTCAAAGTCCATGATGTATGCATGTGTGTGCATGTGTGTGTGCACGTGGTGTATACATGCACTCACCAAAACCATAATTTTTATCTCTAGCACATCACCTTGTGACAAGGGGCACGTATTATATAAGAGCATAAGAACTGACATACTGGATCAAACAAAAGCTCCATCTAGCTCAACATCCTGGCTCTGACAGTGCCATGCAGTGGATGCCTTAGAGGAAAAGTGTACGAAACAGGTTATGTATAGAATAATCTGTCTCCTATCTTACTCTCCCAGTCACTAGGAGTAGATTCTGTCACTGAAAGAGTTGTATTTAATAGTCCCTGATGAACCTACCCTCCATAAATTCATCTAGTCCAGTTCTCAACTTTCTCAACTGTTTGAGACTTATTTGAGATACCTTGTTAGACTCAAGGCATCCTTCTGAAAATGCTAGCTCTTAGCTTTCAAAATAATAGAAAATTTTTTTGGTTTCAAAGAATTTAGAAAGACCACAACAGGTCATAATGTTTTTGATTCCATGGATTCCTATTTGAAATCTCTGGGCATTTATACATGTGGTCTGGGAGGTGGGGGAGGGGGGCAGGGAGCACTTTAGAGTGGTTCTGAGAGCTGCTCTAATTAAAGCGCCTGGAGTGTCATGTGTATCAGTGTCCCCACACTGAAAAATGGCAGTGGGGACACCTTAACTAAAGTTTGTCAAATGAGCTTTAGTTAAAGCACCCCCACTGCCATTTTTCAGTGCAGGGACTCTGATGCACATGATATAGTTTCCTAGTTTCATAGTTGGTTGGGTCAGAAGGGACTTGAGGAGATCATCAAGTCCGACCCCCTGCCATGGCAGGAAAGAACGCTGGGGTCAAACAACCCCAGCAAGGTGCTCATCTAGCCTCCTCTTAAAGACCCCAGGGTAGTAGGAGCCAGCACCACTTCTCTTGGAAGTTGATTCCAGGTCCTAGCTGCCCTGACTGTGAAGCAGCGCCTCCTGATATCTAGTCTAAATCTGCCCTCTGCCAGCTTGTGACTGTTATTTCTTGACACTCCTGGTAGTGCTCGGGGGAACAGGGACTCTCCCAATGCCTGCTGGTCCCCTCTGACTAGTTTGTAAATGGCCACTAGATACCCCCTCAGCCTTCTCTTGTGGAGGCTGAACAGGTTCAGGTCCCTTAACCTCTCCTTGTAGGGCCTGCCCTGCTGACCCCTGATCATGCGAGTGGCCCTCCTCTGGACCCTCAATGCTGTCCACATCCCTCCCGAAGTGCGGTGCCCAGAACTGGATGCAGTACTCCAACTGCGGCCTGACCAGTGTCGCGTAGAGAGGGAGGATCACCTCCTTGGACCTGCTTGAGATGCATCTGTGGATGCATGACAAGGTACGGTTGGCCTTCCTGACCGTGTCCCCACACTGTCGGCCCATGTTCATTTTAGCATCAATAATGACTCCAAGATCCTTTTCTGCCTCTGTGCTGACAAGAAGGGAGTTCCCCAGCCTGTAGTATGCTGCTGGTTCTTCCCCCCCAGGTGCAGTACTCTGCACTTGTCAGTGTTGAAACCCATCCTGTTCTCATCCGCCCACCCCTGTAACCTGTCTAGGTCCGATTGCAGCCTATTCCTTCCTTCTAGTGTGCCCCCCACATCTTAGTGTCGTCTGCGAATTTGAACAGGGTGCTTTTTACCCCCTCATCTAAGTTGCTCATGAAAATGTTGAACAGTGTGGGCCTGGGAACCGAGCCCTGGGGGACCCCACTGCCCACATCCCTCCCAGTCAAAAATGACCTGTCCACCACCACTCTCTGGGTGCGACCCTCCAGTAAGTTAGCCATCCATTTGACTGTGTAGGTGTCGATGCCACAGTCCCCTAGTTTTTTAATGAGAATGGGATGAGAGACAGTGTCAAAGTCCTTCCTAAAGTCCAGAAAGACTACATCCACTGCTACACCTGCGTCTAAGGATTTTGTGACCTGGTCATAGAAGGCCACCAGGTTGGTCTGACAGGACCTGCCTCTAATGAACCCGTGTTGGTTGTCCCTAAGCATAACCTCCCCTGCTGGCCCCTCGTGGACATGCGCCAGGATAATTATCTCAAAAAGCTTACCCAGGATTGAGGAAAGACTAACTGGCCTGTAGTTTCCTGGGTCCTCCTTCCTCCTTTTTTTGAAAATGGGAACCACATTGACCCTTTTCCAGTCCTCTGGCACCACACCAGATGCTGGAGTCTGCTGGAGTGCGGTAATTACCATGCTCCAGCATACTCAATTAATCAAGTCTGCTCTGACGTGCTGTAATTACAGTGCATCGAAGCATCCTTGATGTACATGTATAGGTGCCCTCTGAGTCTATCTTGTGAATCATGTGTAAGCGTTTCAGCACCTAACAGTGGTATTATTATGTAGCACCCTTACAGGAAATTCACACCATCTTAGGGGCATGTGGCACCCTGGTTGAGAATCACTGCTCTAATCCCTTTTTTGAATCTAGTTCACTGCTGA